ATGATGATGAAGGTGGTGATGACGATGATCATGATGACGATGGTGACGCTGGTGGTGGTGGTGATTATTATGATGATGATGGTGATGGTGATGATGCTGATGATGATGCTGATGCTGATGATGCTGATGCTGATGCTGATGCTGATGACGATGATGATGATGATGATGACGACGACGACGACGACGACGATGATGATGATGATGGTGATGATGATGATGATGATGATGATGATGATGATGATGATGATGATGATGATGATGATGATGATGATGATGATGGTGATGCAGAGGACGAGAAAAACGACGAGGAGTTGGAGGAGCGGTGCCTCGGCGCCCATCCGCTGCATCCGCACAGGTGCCCCCCGCGCGGGGCTGCCGCCCCTTCCGCCTGCCTGCCTGCCAGGAGGAGGAGTTGGTTGACGCAGACGGGGCGTCGCCGACGTGACGTCGTCGAGGCGTCGCCGACGTCGCCTTGGCGCCGCCGTCGTGGCGTCATCGTGCCGGCCCAGCCTCCCCCCCCGCGCGCCGCCCCGCGCCGAGGCGGCGACCGCCGCGCCGCGGCCGCCGTCCCCGCAGGGCCTCACCTGGGACGCGGCGTTCGGGAGGAGCGCCGCGTCGGGTTCTCTCGGAGGTGGATAGACCTCCTACAGTCGGGGCCCTGAAGAAGGAACCCTTTTCGTTGGGGAGGGGCTCCGTGTTCCTTGATAGTTTCGCAGCTTGCCTTAGGTTTTCCTTAGGTTTTCGATGTGAAATCGAAGTTTAACTTATGGAAAATAGGGGCCTCGTTCCTTATTTGGGGTTCCTTAGGTCAACGCCCCGACTGTACCCTGACACGTCGATTAGTGAATTGGCCGTGTTCGGTTCGCCAGAGGGCGTCGCGGCCGTCATTTCTGCGGGTCCGGATCCGTCGGTTTCGGTCCCAGGCCGTTTTCACGAAAGGGAGGTTTATTAAAGGGAGGTTTGTCCACCGCCGATTCTCGGGGGGCGCGGCGGTGACGGCGCCGCTGACGTCGACGGTGTCCTCGTCGTCCTCGTCGGCAGCTTCGGCGCCGTCGGCAACGTCGGCGCCATCGTCATCGTCGCCGGCGACGGCGGCGCTGACGCTCAGGCTTTCGGATGCTTTCGCGGGTTCCCCTGAAACTGGGCCTCGCCGAGAGGAGGAAAGGAGCAGGAGGAGGAGCAGGAGGAGGAGGAGGAGGAGGAGGAGGAGGAGGAGGAGGAGAGGAGGAGAGGAGAGAGAGGAGGAGGAGGAGGAGGAGGAGGAGGAGGAGAGGAGGATCAGGAGGAAGAGGAGGGGGAGGAGGAGGAGGAGGGGGAGGAGGAGGAGGAGGAGGAGGAGGAGGAGGAGGATCAGGAGGAGGAGGATCAGGAGGAGGAGGAGCTTCCTGCGTCGAAGTAAGTGCCGTTCAGCAGCTGGGCCTCGCCGACAGGCGTGTGAGGGTGTCGGGCTCGTCCCAGTCGGCCGCCGGGTACCCGAGAGTCATTGGCCGAGAGCCAGGGGGGGGAAGAGGGGTGGGCAGGCCTTCTCAGAATGCGGCGGGGTGTCTCAGAAACCCTCAGACGTCGTCGCCGCTCGTCGTCGTCGTCATCGTCGGCGGCGGTGGCGCCGTCGTTGTCAATTTCGCTACGCTCGGAACATTAACACTTGCTCGTGAGGTGGTTGGACGCACCATGACTTGAGAGCGGCGCCAACGATGGAATTTCGACGTTTGCTTGTGTATAGGATTCTAGTAGTATGTTGCGGAACCTGTTTCGCAACAAGAACACATTGTTGCAGAACCCGTTTTGCAACAACATGTGTTTTCGCACCAACCAGTTTCGCAACAACATCGCACCAGTCAGTTCCGCAACACTACGAATTATCAGGAAATCAAGCCCATTGCGGCGGGGTCCGTGTCCGCAGACACACTAGCGCCTCTTCATCACTTCTCCCGTCAGCTCTCCTGACGATTGTTTTTGGATGGGCTGGTGGGGATAGGCGAAGCGTCAACAGTTTAAACGATGGAAATCCCCGCCGGGAAGTGTAGAAAAGGTGCTTCCCTCATAACAAGCATTTTACTACACTTCCCGGCGGGGATTTCCAGCGCCCCCAAAGTTGTTGTTTTCGTTTGTGTTGTAACCTGGGAGTACTCATCGTTCATCGTGTTGGCACGCGCATACATAAGTTACTCAAGTTATAACTTCGGAATCCAACGGTTCCTCGGTAGCCCCCGCCCCAGGGGGTGGCGGCATTGCTTAAGGAGTTTTCGAAAGAAGGGGTCGTCTCAGTCATCTCGGCCATCAGGCCATTAGCAAACGAGTTGCCTCGATCAGGGAAGCGAAAGATGAGTGAAAACAATATTTTGATCATTTGGGGTTGCAGCGGTCTTCAGAACCAAGAGCGGTGGCTCGGGGGATGACACCTTATCGCCCAGGGCCCAGGGCTCAAGGTTTGTGCCAGCCCACCTCTTCCCGACAGGTCTTCCCCACCCCCCCGCCTTGCCGCTTGAATCCGCATGCCCCGCCCCTCCCCGTTGCCCGACGCAACTTTGGCCCAATTGTGTTCGCATTTGTTTTCTTGCTTGTGCAGTACACTGAATATGGATTATTTGCTGGATCGACTCGGCGGTGATGGAACCGCAGTCGAAGCGCAGCCTCCGCCTTCGAGACAATGTCCCAGATGGCCTGTGAACAAACCTTTGAGGAGCTGGCCAGTGAAAAAAACATTGGTTGGGCGCAAGAAGCGCGTTCTCAATGGTGATGTCAAAACGCCCGAAGGCAGAGCTCTACTCAGCCAGTTGATGCACATGGGAAAAGCCCGCCTCGCCCTTCAGCGATCAATTGACCGCAATGTGAGGAATGCACATGCAATTCTTGAAGACCCTCGGGTTCATATTAGGAGCAGCGTTGAATTCAGAAGTTCTCGTAAATGTGGCGATCTACGCGTTGTCATGGGCAGATCTTTTTCTCGACGTGCTTCGTTCACCGCGAAGCAGATGACAGATATCCCCCTGCTTGCGGCAAGTCCCGCCACCGTGCCTATGAAGTTGCTTCGGTTGTCGGTGTTCCTCTTCCTCTTCCTCCTCTCCCTCCTTCCCCCCCCCTCCTCCTCCTCCTCGTCCTCCTCCTCGTCCTCCTCGTCCTCCACCTCCTCGTCCTCCTCCTCCTCTTCCTTCTCCTCCTCTTCCTCCTCCTCCTCCTCTTCCTCCTCCTCCTACTGGTTCTCCTCCTTCTCCGCCTCTCCCTCCCTGCGCCCTCCTCCTCTTCCTCTTCCTCCTTCGCCGGCCCCCTTCCCCCCCCCCCACCTCCTGCGCCATCCTCTCCCCTGCTCCTCCTCTTCCTCCTCCTCCTCGTCCTCCTCCGCCTCTTCCTCCTCAGACCGCCTTCATCACGTCAAAAACGCCATCGTTATCGTGTCGCTTCTCCTCCTCCTCCGTCCCCTCCTGCTGCTCCTGTTCTTCCCCCGTCTTATCCTCCTCCTTCTTCTCCTTGTCCCGTCGCCTTCCTATTCGGAATCGTCGCAATCGACGCTCTCACGTTTAGCACACATCCTTTCAAACTGCGGTTGGCTTGCATCGCGGTTTTACAGTGCAAGGGTGTCTCAGGCGAAACGCAGCGGATTCACGCGGGACCGCGCGAGCGCAAGGAAGTGCCGTCAGACAACCTGTGCCAGACAGCATTCGCGTACGCTTCGGCGTGCCCAGGGGCATGCTGGCGGATTCTGCTGCAGAAGGCTGTTTCCCATAAGGCTCTGGCCCGCTCTTACGCCTGCGATCCCAGGTCACGTGGGGGTCACGAACGCGCGGCGTGGCGCAAGGGGTCGGGGTGGAGGGGGTGCCCATTGCGCCGTCGGCGAGTCACCCGTGCACCCTTGCCTTGCGCCTGCGTCGGCCATGCAGTGGCGTCTGTCTGTCTGTCTGTCTGTCTTGCATCCTTTTCACTAGATAGATGGGCAACCGAGTGGCATGGCCGATGATAGGGGCGAGGGGGGTAGACGGAGGGGGGTGAGGAGGCGGGGGGGGGTGAGGCGGGGTCAGAGGAGGAGAAGTCGGGAGAGGAGGAGGACGAGGAGGTGGTCGCGCACAATGGGTCCCGAAGGTCCATCAGTCGAGTTAAGGATGTCGTAGCGGAGGCGTACTTGGCCACTGAGGTTTTGATGTTCGGATGGCTCCTCCAGAATCTTCGCAGGCGCCCGCCTGACTGGTGTTTGCGCAGCACGCTGTGGGATGAGACTGGGCAGCGTTTGGTCCTTGCGCCGATGTCAGAGATGGGGTCATCTTGTCAGATTGCGACCTGGCAAGTTCTGGTCGTTCGCACCCGCTTTTGCTGGGGTTGGTTTTCGGAAGAGCGCCCTTCGCCTGCGTGCCCAGTCATGGCGTACGAGCCTATTGTGCCGCCGATTCCATTGGTAGCCAATGGGGCCGCGCATGTGTTTAGTGGTTTATTCCGCCACACGGTCACAGCGGCCTCTCAGTGTTTTGTGCGAGAACTCAAATCATTATCGAAGGTGTCATTTGATCTGATGGCTTTCGGCCAAATCCGCCACCGTGCCTGGGTAAAAGGGTCAGAGGCGTCATGCTCATGCATGTTGGTTATGAGCTCGTGTTTGGCCTCTCGGGAGCCTCTTGGAAGCAGCTTTGGTCCCTCTTGGGGGCTAGTTGGGGGGTTCTTGGAGCCTGCTTGGCGCCTCTTCGGGGCTTCTTGGCGCCTCAGGGGGCCTCTTGGGTGGGTATTGGGGCCTCGTGGGGCGTCTTGTAGCCGAGGGCTAGAATTTTCGGGCCCGGAGGCTACGATGTGTGAGGGATGTCAAAAATAACCCTGCCTAAGTTATGCGGGAATACGCGGCAAGCCTGGGAATATTTGGGAATTTGGGCTCTGGTCCCTTTGGTCCCTCAAGCGTGAGGGCTGAGGCTCAGGTGATGAAGGAAGGGCCTGAGGACGCGCCCACTCTGTGCCGCAGGGCACGGTGCCTGATATTTTCGAGAGTGACGGCGCCACTGGAAATGAGAAGATGTACGCCCATGTCGGCCACGATACCAGCGGGCAACCACGGGAACCACCTTGGAGAGATGCAGACCGTTGCGGTCGCCATGTATGAAGATATCGGCGGCCGTGCTTTGAACGGAGTCAACGATTTGTATGCGTCAGTGTTGTTCTTCAGGTCTCAAGGGAATTTCTTGCGGTTGATCTGTTCGGTCAGGAAAGCTTTAGACAGTGCTTTGGTCATCAGAGTTGGACCGCCGCCGCCTGAGGCGCGATCCTACACAGTCGCATTTCGTTTGTTTCTGGAGGCGGATCGGCGTTTCACGCCGTCCGCGTCCACGTCGGCTGCCGCATTGAGCGCGTCGAAGGCACTACTCGACAAATTTTTTGACATCTTTAACGGCAGATATTGGCTCCGCGGCATCGTCGAAGTGTTTCTGGATGGCAGGTCTCTCGACAGAGGCGAGGTCATTCACGAGGGGTCGATTGCTCTCCTCAGTGCTTTTTTCCATCACCTCCCTTGCGTGCCATCGCAGGGTAAATGGGAGAAGTTGTATCCCGCTTTGGCATTCTTCGTCAAGACGCACGCTCTCGGCGGCATCCTTTCGAAAATCATGAGTGGCAGCTTTGACGAGTCTGACTTCCTGGACCCGAATAGTGATTCAGCGTTGCGCGCCCAGGGCGAATCCAATGGCCCCGTCGACCCTGCGCTGCAGGAGTCGCTGATGTGGAGGGCAACGCAGGGTTCGCGCTATAAGCGCGCCGAGAAACTCGTGAACGACGTCTGGATGAATTACGTGTTCCTCAGCCTATGCGTAGTCATGGAGGCGACGAGGTACCTCACGCTATGGTTCATGGCAGCTTCAAACAAAGTGCTGTCTTTCGTGGGGTACCCTGCGCTGATGGATTTATTGTATGAGCCAACGAGTCCGTTGACGTGGTCTTTGCAGTACTTGTCGTCATGCCTCGCTGGTGCCACTTCAAGGTGTCGACTTCTTCGGGGGGCTCACGATTCACACGCCGATTGGATTCGGGCCCAGCCGAGCCAAGCGCGTTATGTACGTAGACTTGTTTTACATCAAGCAGGGCAGATAGAGATGCGTCATGTGCGCAAGTACCACAAGGCCCCGTGGTTATGTTGGGGATTCTGCGACCCTCGGCGCAGCGTGCTCCAGAGGTCCGTCGACACCGCCAAGTTTAAGTCACAGAACGAGTGTTGCATACCCTCGGGCTTGGCGCAGTCCTTGGCAGCGCTGAACTTTCATGATTTCAAGTGCGCGCTCATGGTGTACCTTACTGCTTGGTACGTATGCCTCTCGCTCCACTGCGTGGAACGCCTTCACGCCAGGAACAGGCATTCCAGCTGCCCGAAAGTGGCGTGGCATACTTTCGCCCACGACTACGTCGGGGCGGAGATCAATGCGAGTGCGCGCCACCGTGGTGACGTCGACGTTGAGGCATCGCTGAGCAGCGGCAGTCGCGACCGTGATCCGCAGGCAGCTGCCGTTGACCAGACGGCGAGCTCCAAAAAGCCAGTGGGCAAATGCGCCATGCACATTTACCGTGCACAGTGGTTGCAGATGCAACGGTCCATGGGCAGGCGTTACGCAGCTCACCAAGGGTGGTCTGAATGCAAGCAGGACTTCGCTGCCCTGTCGGAGAGTGAGCTCGCCGACTTGGAGGCCCAGTCCTACGCGTCGAAGGCCGTGGCTTCTGCCCAGCGCAGGCTGGATATGATCGCCCCCGCCAGCTCCGACGGCAGCTCCGAGGTTCTTGGCGAGGATGAGGAGGAAGACGAGGAGGAGCAGGAGGAGGAGGAGGAGAAGGAGGAGGAGGAGGGTGAGAGAGTAAACAGGCGAGGAAGAGGATAGGACGCGGCGTTCAGGTGGGCGCGGGGGGGGGGGGGGGGGGGGGGGGGGGAGGAGGAGGAGGGGAGGAGGAGGAGAAGGAGGCCAAGGAGAGGGAGATGAGGATGAGGCGAAGGAAGGGGGATAATGAGGAGACAGGGGGCGCCGAGGGAGGAGGAGGAGGACAGGGGGGATATGGATTGGGCGGTTGGCGGGTATGGGGGCAGGAGGAGCACGGCGAGGACAAGGAGGAGGATGATATGGATGAGAGTGAGAAGGGAGATGTGGAGGGGGTGGGTTGACGGAGAGAAGGATGATTATGAGGTGGAGGAGGAGGAAGGGGAGGAGGGAGGATACGTTGGGTCGTTCGCCCCCGCTACCCCCACCAACGCCCTTTGGGCGGTTGGACTGATGAGAGAGACGATGGCATCTCATCGTCAGAGATGAGACGCCATCGCCCATCGTCTTTCTCATCAGGATGGCGAGGAGGATGACCAGAAACGGTCGCATTTGAGATGGCCCCTCTGGCCCAACATTGCAGCCAGACGTTTGCTCTCTCCGATTTCTGCTATCGCTGCTGCCAGCCGTTTCGGTTTGGCGAAAACTTTGTCTTGGAATGTGTCCCTGGAGCAAACGGCCGACTTGTGGTCCAGGGGCGGCGCGCTTCTGGACAAAAACCAGGAACGCGAGATCCCCCCGCCCCCCTGCCGCTCTCCACTAGAAACTCGGAGTCGGAAGGGGGGGGGGGGGGGGGGCATGGTGTGGAGGAAGTGCAACGCGCGCGTTCGCAAAGGGCACCCCCATCGTACGTCTCCTCTTCCTTCTCCAACTCCTGCCCCTCCTCCATCTCATCCTCCTCCCCTTTCCCCTCGCGGCAATCCGCGTCCTCCTCTTCCCCCCCCCCCCCCCCCGCCCCACTGCGCCGCTGATGGCTCCACAGTTGCTGCGCCACGAAGCTTGTGGGGGGGCGCATGTGAACGAAAAGCTGGCGGGGGACACATGGTAGCGAAAAGCTCGTGGGGGGCAAATGGTAACGACAAGCTCGTGGGGGACGCATGGTAACGAAAAGCTCGTGGGGGACAAATGGTATCGAAAAGCTCGTGGGGGCAGGACGTCCCTCCCCTCTCCTACTCCTCGTGTTCCTCCTCTGCTTCCCCCTCCCTTCCCCCTCCCCCTCCTCCTCCTCCTCCACCTCCTCCTCCTCCTCCTTCTCCTCCTCCTCCTCCTCTTCCTCCTCTTCCTCCTCCTCTCCGCCTCCACCCTTCTTGCCCGCGCCTTGAAAGGTCGCGGTGTCAACTGCGCCCGCGCTGTGCGACGACGAGGGGCCGCCGCCGTTCTCCCCTGTGCCAGGGGCGGTCCTTGCCGTGGAGGATTGGCTTCTGAGTCGGGCTGCTGGCCCCGCTGATAGACCCCTTATTTCATTCCAGGATTTGAGGCAGTGTGGCAATGGGGCACCTTTGCACGAGCGTCTAGCTGGCTACCTCCAGGGGCAAGTTCCTGGCACTGGGAAGGCCTTGAGGTTCAAGGACGCGGAGGCGTCGTTCAAATCTAGGGTCGCCCACACGCCACCCATCAGTGGCATCAATGAATTCCCAGAGACGGTCGAGTACGATACGCCTTGTGGTGCATTGTGCAGATCCGACACCGATGAATATGTGCTCCAGTTCCAGGGGTCTATCATGCGAGCATGGGAGGCATTCGGGAAGAACGTGAGCCCGAAGGCCAAGTTAGCATTGTTGCCCGTTGCCGAGATTACGGCGGTCATCGAAGTTTGGCCTGAGGGCGCGTGCGTCCCTCGGCTCTGGTGGGGGGCAATGATTGCGGCGAAGGATAAGTTTTTTCGGTACGATGCGACAATCATGCTCTGCTCGCACGAGGTCGTGGGTGACTCTGACGACGCAGACATGTACAACAGCAGGTACCAGGGTTGTCTCTTGCGTCCTGTACGCAAGTTGTTTTCCAAACCGCATCCTAAACATGAAGTGCCACTCCCGTTCGGAGAAGCCGCTCATGGGAGATTGACCATATACGACCACGACGAATTAACAGCTCTCTTATGTACGACATTTTGTGGAGACGCTCGCGTCGTGAAGGTCGCGCTTGTGCCCCTTGAGTGGAAGCTTGACCCCCAACCTGGCGTACCTGATGCGGTTCGCGTCGTCGGCGTGCACCCGACGCATGTTGCGTGCATTTCTGTTGCAGGGGAGGCGCCGCCCCCTGCTGGACTGCATTGCGGCGGTTCAGGCGCGCCCGCAGGTGGACCTGACGGCGCGGCAGGCGCGGGCGACGATGACGATGACGACGCCTTCGATTTCCTTGCCGATCGCATGGGCGACATGAAGAAAGCTCGCAAGGCTGGGAGGGCGAAGCCAGCGCAAATCGGCCCTTGGCCCTCCCCCATCCCTCCCCGCCTTCGAGAAAACTGAGACCGAAGTGGTGGAGAGGGGGACGGTGGGCGATGGAGGAGAGCCGAGATCGCCGATCAGCACTGCTTCAACCTGCCGCCAGAGGAAGCACGTGCTAAGTCGCGTCGCAAGACGCTTGTCAAGTCCGATGACACCACTGCCAATGCCATCGGCGGCATCCCTGTTGAAATGTTGGACGCTTTTGGCTTTGAGCATTGCGGTGAACTTCGCGATCTTGAGACCGAGGGTAAGAAATCAGCCGAGGCAGACAAGTCAGAGGTCGATGCGAATGTCGACCGCGACGCTGCGACCTTCGAGGGCGATGTTGATGACCAGGTGCCTCAGCTGGGCGTTCCAGCTGGACTGGCTGCAGCGGGATCTGTTTCGCCGTCGTCTGGTTCGGCTGGGGCTTCTTCTTCGTCGGGGGTGGCTGCCCCTACTCCTTCGTCAGGATCGACTGGGGCTGCATCTTCATCAGGGTCGACTGGGGCGTCTTCGTCACCATTGCCGTTCGCGCTCGAGATCGGCGGGGTGGACGACACTCTTCAGAGGCTGGGTTTGACGCAGCGACCAGTGCCATTTGGTAAGGGAATCAAGTTTGAAAACCAGACGGGGGTGCCAGTCGGCGTGGTGTATACCATCGGAGATTCCAGCGTCCAAGCTGTGTGTGGCGCGCACGGAAAGCAATGCAAACTATTCATTGACATCATATGACTATCGTCACCCCGCTTGCTTGTGAGCGGAAGTTTTTGCCGCGCTCAGGTTGAAAAGGTGTCTTGGAGGGGAGGAAGGTCGTGAATGTGAACGTGGGCAGGCGGCGAGCGGGGGAGGTGGCACGGGCTGGGGCTGGGGCGTTGGGGAGACGGTGTCGGCGTGGAAAGGGGAATGGGGGAGGGAGGGCGTTGTTGCGTCGCCAACTTGTGGCATCTCAGATCTCTGTTGTCAAGGTTCCGTGGCTGCGGCCGAGGCCGCGGGGGGGCGGAATGGTGGACGTTGCAACGCCGTCAACGGTTGAACCGTCGACTGCGATGAAAACTCCAACGGGGCGAGAGGGGCAGTCAAATTCTGACGCGCCAATCTCGTGACGGAGGCGCGGATCATGAATAAGCACGGGGTGCAAGTACGTTCGCCAGGCGTTGTAATCTCTCGTTGTCTGGAGTGGTTGGCCCTCTCCCCCTCGTTGTCAGAGGCGGATCACTTCAGCGAAGCCGTTCGCATTAAAGAGAGCCTCGGTATGGTTGTCCGCAGGAAGCGGCTTTGACGCGTGGCGCAAGTGCGCCGTGGCAAAGAATAGTTCCTATCCTCCTCATTCCGTGTCCTCCCCTTTATATGATGCATGGCTCTCCCTCTTCCTCATTCTCATCCTCTTCTCCTGCCCCCTCGTTCTCCCCCTGGCAGTCCTTGTGTCTGTGGAGTCATTGTGCCTCTGGAGTCATCTTGGAGTCTCTGGGCCCTGGAGCCATTGGACCTCTGGAGAGCCTTGAGGAGCCTGGCCGATGTGATGGCGCCCTACGTCCCCCCTTCTCCTCCTCGGGCACCGTTGCTGGCGGTCGTGCGGGTTGCGTGAAGGACCCTTCTTCCCTCTTCCCCCCTCAGGCGGTCAGGATTTCGAGGCGAACCCAGCCGCGGCGGCGAGGGGTACCCTGGTGACCGAAACCATCGCCCACCTCCTCCGCTCGATCCTCCTTGGCGCGTCTTGGGCTTCAGCTTCTGCGATCACTTGGGTATGGATGCCTTTCGGCGATCGCCGCTTCACCCCCCCTCCCCCGCCACGCACCTCCCCAGCTGCGCAACTGGCGCGCCCCAAGGTCGGCGACGAGCTTTCATCCGCCTCGGCCCAGCGCAAGGCTTGAGCAGACCGCCCGCCGATCCGCCGAGCCCCCGCTTCCCCCCTCCCCCTCATTAGTTGCGCAGCTGGCCCCACGAGGGCCAAAGGGGGGGCAGTGAACTTTCACGCGCATTGGCCCAATGCACGGGGCGCAAGGGCAAACGGCAAGCCGTCCGCCGATCCGCCAACCCCCGCACCCACACAAAAAAAACGCTGTTAGATCCACCTCAGAGCGGCAGTGAGTTTTCACGCGCCTCGGCCCGATGCAATGTCCGCAGGGGCAAACGTATTGCGGCATGCCGCCCGTCATTCTGCCGACTTAGGGTAGGTTTCCAGTTGCGCAGTCGGCACACCTCATTCCATGCTGATTGCATACCTCATTCGCAATCGTCAATGTTCATTCGCCATTTGAATTTGTGTATCGAGCAATGTTTGACAGGGCTCGTTGCTTCTGACTTTCCATATTTCGTCCAACCACCGCTCAGAATGTCACAGCATCCTGATCTCGATGGGTACGACTCCGATGCCGCCTACATAGAATCTCCGAGCGGAAATGTTTACAAAGTCTATTCCGATATTGGGGGGATCTTGCGTGTCAGTGATCAGCCGACTCTCGTGCCACCTGCTGTTGGTATCTACAGCAGGAGCAAGCCAGACCTTGTTGACAGCGACCGTCCCTCTAAGAAGCC